TATATATTTATATATGGCGTATATGAGAGGGGTCGTCAAATGAGTCCGAGCTCTCAACTCAATCTAACAGCAGATATTTATACAAATCCTACATTTACAACGTTCGATGCCTTTCAACTGTACATACACTAGCATTAGAAAAAGGCGAGGGTCTAAAATACATCCGTTTATAGCTTAATACCACCTACTCTTCTTGGCTACTAACGTTTTGATCCGTTGCTGCGTGAGTTTTAAATTCATTTTCAGAGTAGTGGCATTGAATTTGTTCTTGTTGGCGTGGGCTTTGACCTTCTTCATGGCGATAGATTTCTACTGTTACAATCTTTGCTGTACTGTTACTTGCTCTACAATACGTAATATAGTATATATGAAGTGGTAAATACACACTTATGCTTTTTGAAAATATACAGCTATGTAGTCCTAGTTGTGACTTTTGTGTTTTCAAACGATGGCAGGTTCAGGTTTGCATCAGTATTTGCAGACTTTCAGTTTCCGGTCTCTTTGAGACAAGTTGAGTTCGAACTTCGAACTTCGAGCTGTTTGGACTTTGGACTCTAGGAGTGAGATTTGATTTGAGTGATCGCTCAAAGAAGCCAATGAAAATGATTATTGATGAGTCATGTCCAATTGCAATCACTATACGGTGTCTGTAAATACAATATAATACATACTCGCTCACTTTCAGACTTCTCTTACCTCTTGTTGGCATCGTGTGCTGTTTCCCTTACATACCAGCGAATTGCGATATATCCAAAGCCCCCATAAATATGTTAGTATTACACCGTATTTGTTCTATAATGAAGAAGACCATTACGGTTATTTGTTTATCATTTTATTTTATGTATACTATCTTATTTTGGTACGCAGTGTTTTGCTGCTTTCATTCTCCATTTCTCGTTGATCTGTAGCTTTCGATGGCGACAGTCGTGCAAGAATTGTCAGGTGATTGTTCCTTTCGGTTGTGTAGTCTGTTCGTAAATTCAAATCAGACCACAATTTCGAGCAAGTTAATGGTTTTCAACTGAAAAACAATCACTGATGCGCGCCTTCCGAATTATCTAAATGAAGACCTGAACGGAAACTGACACATGATTTGGCGTTCTCGCATTCTCATTCTTGGTTCTATCATACACGAGTTGTACTATTGTGTAATCTTAAGTGTATATCTTCACTCGTCTCGAAGACGTATCTTCTCGTTCCCAAGATGTGCATGAAATTTTGCGCATAGATTATCTCGCTCCCAAGATGTTGTGGTAAGTGACACGTTGCAAGATCTGTGCGCTCGGAAGAACGCAGTGAACGTTGTCGATTGCGCCGGAGAGTTCAGGTATATGCTCCAATATGCAATACTCAACTGCGGTGTCTCACTTATGATCTGCATCTATTTGAATTAGTGACTGCCGTGCTCTCGATTTTCACAACGGGCGAATTACCACCATCACAATTAAGATTGCGTGTGCTCCCTCTTATATGCGAAATGCATCCTTGTTGTTCGGAACCTCTTCTTCACACCAGAATATTGTCAACCATTCTTGATCCCCAATCACCACCTGAAGTAAGACGATCTGGCATACGGTACCATTGCACGGCCTGAAAACGTTTGAGGCCGTTGTTGTGGCGACATTTGGCTCCATCGTAGAGTACTCTCGCAGAGGACTATATGTACCTTCCAAGGCTAGCTACACTGTTTCCGAGTGTAATGAGCACTTTTCTCTATCGGTTGGTTTCCAGCTTTGTTGAGCTCTACAGTGTATCCGAAAATTACTATTTCAAGACAAGACAACGCTAGCTATGTCCGAGCTGCGTAATTCTTTCCAGAATTGATAGCATTTCGCCGGCGTCCATCGCTTTGCCATGCCTGAACTATAATAATATCAACTATTGTTTGGTATTTCCAAACTCTGCCCTGTGCCTATGTCCACATTTGATATACCTTTCTCCTTGCGATTGCTCCCAGTATCGGCTTGTTCATTACTTGGGCGAGCTTCAACAGTGAGCGCCACCATACTATCAGGTACATTGTCAACTACAATAAGGCCATTCACGCGTAATGCTTCTGTCAACTTCGAGCGATTATCGCACTCCTGTTGAAAAGCAATAAACTCGGGTGTCTGATAGAAACCCGACAGTAGGTTCTGCGAGATTTGATTCAGAATCTCAAAGCTGGCCTGATAAAATAAGTCATCGATATCCTTGTAGCTATCCTTGTTCACCAAGTCTATTATCCGGTTCCGCACAGTCCGCTTGATGTTTATCTCTTTCGAAGAGTTGACCCTCACGAATATTTCTGTACAGTCCCTTGCCATATCTCTGGCTTCTTGTACGGATTGCTTTTCCAGTTGCTTGCACTCGGCGATGCATATCTCGAATTCGACGGCTTCTGCACAGTGTCGACTGCCTGCGTATGACAGCAAAATATCCCTCTGCGAAGAATCATGAAACGACCATAAAGAATCGTTAGTTTAATAGTAAAACCGCGTAGATACTATGAAAGGTGAAAATGTACTCATATAACACTTGTGAAAATAAAACCTGCGCGCATTGGTCTTGAAACTTACCGTTTCATGATTAAATAGCAGGCAACCCACACACTTCCCATACTGAAGTTCCTCGTAGTACTGGCCCAGAAGATCGTAATTCTGTAGCAGTGTGGACTTTCCAAACCGACGACTGAGGACGCGCAGTACCACCAATAGGAAATTATCCAGGGTAAACAACCACACCAGACACGGATGTATGAACAAGCGGAAGTAACTAATGGTGTCATAACTGTTCGTGGCACAGCTGTAAATCATCGTGGACCAGTAGAAAACAAAGAACGCGGCAAAGACACGAATGTTGGTTTTGAAATCCAGGAAGTACTGGAAGGAGCTGACGTTGGTAAAGGCCAGGTAATAAAAATACCTGCCACACAGCACGGCTTCGTAGAACAGATTTCCGATGCGAAATTCTAATACCGAGCAATCTTTCTGACCGTAATAACACACCAACTGGGGTGTCATGGACACGATGAAGATTGCAGTATGGATCGCCACTGATAACCAGTATTTAGGTTGCGCACTGGAACCGTTATTGAAGACGACATGCATGAAGTACATCCGACTCACCACAGCAGAAAGCATCATGGCCTCGCAGAACCATTCACATATAAACAGCCAGAGCACTATCTCTGTAAACGTGGATTTATACGAGCCATCCTCGTTCAAGGCTTCCAAGCTGGTCACTTGCAACATCACGGCCGCCCAGGCGATGGTGAATACACATCCACTAAACGCCGCGGCCCAGAAGTGAGCTATGAAGGCGTGATGGCGACTGCAAACTTCAGGTTCGTTCCAGAACACGATGAAGAACAACAGCAGAGCCACCAGCAACACTATCGTAGGGATCTGCATGATTAGCATGTATCTGAATATTTCATCCCCGTAAACAATCTCACCGTCATTTAAGGTGCCTGGCGTGGACTCGCAGCGCCAGAATAAAACTGCGGCCAAGGCAAAAATAAAAACACAAACCACTATCGCGGTTATATTCGCAACGCGTGCGACTATATCAGGCCTATCTACATCAGCAACCGGGAGTGTTGAACAGTGATTCTGGCCAGTACAGAATGCCGACATGTCGTTCGGGTTTTTTTTGTCTAGTGCTTCCCTCTGTGACAATAAAGATAAAAGATCCAATGAGTAAGTACTGGATCGTAAACATCGACATTCTACCACGACTAAGCACACGTTCCGGAATCGATATAAATGAAAATAGTTGTGCACAGATACCCATCCGCATTGGCGTATATACATACTTTACTGTAAATTTGTATTTATGAAACCAATAGTGGCGGTATACAACTTAGGTCGAGAATGCAAGTCGTATGTAGGTACATATAATTATTATTTTGTTCGTCTGAATTGAATACAAAACCATGCATAGTCACACTATATATCAGTTGATAAAAATTAAACAATGCACAGACAGATATTTGACCCCAGAATATTGTTCTGTTTTTCGATCTACACGTGAAATTGAAATAAGTAAGAACTACCTAAAGATGTGTATACTTCCGCTCCAACGGTTACGTATATTTGTATAGATATATATATAGATATATATATATATATATATATATATATATATATATATAGTATATATATATATATATATATATATATATATATATATATATATATATATATATATATATATATATATA